TACCACTAATGACTGCCCTGACAGGGAACACAATAGAGAGTCCCTGGTGGAGCAGGAGAAAAGTGGGGTGCAGAACTCAAATTCTAGTAAAAAGACCAGACTTAATGGTCTTACTGAGACTGGAGGGATCCCAGAAGACATGGCCCCTGGACTCTCTGTTAGCCCAAAACTAAAACCATTCCTGAAGCCAACTCTTCAGACAAAGATCAGACTGGACTATAAGACATAAAATGATATTCATGAAGAGTGTGCTTCTTAGCTCAAGTAGATACATGAGTCTTAATGGGCATCTCCTGTCCGGAGGTGAGATGAGGACGCAGAAAGGGACAGGAGCTGGTTGAATGGACATGAGAAATCTGGAGTGGAAAGGAGGAGTATGCTGTGACAGTATAGGGAGAGCAACTACGGTCACATAACAATGTGTGTATAAATTTTTGTATGAGAAAGTAACTTGAACTGTAAACTTTCCCTTAAAGCACAGTTTTTTGGTTTTTTTTTTTTTTTAAAAAAAAGGATATAGGAAGATGCCAAGAAAGGATGTCTGTGGCTGCAGATTCCAAATCAGAAGAGTGTAGTTCTCCAAAATAGGTGACACATTTCTGACGGGCAAAATCAACAATACTTTGATTGGGACAGTAGGAAGAGAGTGCACAGCCCTGCAGTAGGAGCTTTGCCAGGCCCTGTTTGACACCTTGGGTAGGAAGGAATGCTAAGCTGTCCAAGGAGGCACATAGCCATGCCATCTTTTCTGGAAACATTAGATGAGGGAGGTTGTAAGAGAGATTGAATTGTGAGCAGCTTGTCAGCTCCTGAGCGCTGTTGGCTGGGAAGATGCAAAGGCTTCACATGCTTCTGTCAACTTGGCCTCTCTCCCACAGGAATCTCCTTCAGATCATCCAGGAGGAACTTGCCTCATTTAAAAGGGACTCGCAGAGTAGCTATAGAAAGATATAACAAAAGAGGGAAGAAATGGGAAACAAGTGGCAGGTAGAGTACCCACACTATAAAAACGTTCTCATCTCAGTTGGAAATTATGGTTTAGCATAGTGTCCTGCCACCATAAATTCAAGGAGCTTAAGAAAGTAAATAGCTCCACGCAGAGATACAAGAGATCTGGTAAAATGAGGCAAAGTGACAGGTTTTCTCCTGAAAATGGAACGTGATCTGGCAGAGAACAGGAAAGAAGTAAAGGAGAAAACTATCACAGAATTGAAAGCCATGTTGGGAGCAGAATAAAAATGAATAAAAACTGTGGAAAATATTGTAAGGGTAGAGAAAGATTGAGAAAATGAAATGGAAGTAAACATTTAAAAACAATTAGAAAGGAAACAATAGATGCAGAAAATAAAGGAAATCTAACTTAGGCATAATTGGTGTCTCTGAAGAAGAGGACCAAAGAAACGAAAACAAATTCAAATAACGTAATTAAAGAAAATTTCACAAAAATAAAGTTTCAGTTTAATGAATTTAAACTATCTCAAGAAATATTGACACAGAACAGTCGACACTGAAATACATCCTAGTAAGTTTCTGTAGTTTAAAGATGAAGAAAGAATCTTTTGGGCTTCCAAGCAATAAGTTCAAGTCCTGTTTGAAAGGGGAAGGGGAAATTAGGCTAGCCACATTTTGTACCAGAAGAAAATAGATCAGTGTCTGCAAATCTACAACTATTATAGATTGTGCTACTGTAAATACCTGGATATATATATACTTAAGAATGTGTATGATTTATAAGGGGAAAAATGCTGAGTGAAACAATGCAAGACTTGAATAAATGGAACAATATGCTCTGTTCTTAGATAGTAAGGCTCAGTATCTTAAAGATATCTCTTGTCCCTAAATTTATTTATAAACTTAATGTGATCCTGATATAGATACAAATTTTTTTTAGAACCAGGCAAACTGATTTCTTCTATATGTGAATTTTACAAATGTGCAAACCTTGTCAGAAAAACTCTGAAAAGAAAGAGTAATGAGGGAAGTGGGGAACTACCCCACCAAATGTGAAAACATACTATAGAGCTCTAATAATTAAAACAGTTTGATACTCTGAGGAGGACAGATGAGTAGAACAGAAGAGAATCCAGAAATGAACTCAAATACATAATTTAGTCTGTGATAATAGAATGAGTGAAGAAAATTCATCATTTAACGAATGATATTGAGACTAGAAAAAAAATAAAATTAGATCCCTACCTCATACTTTGTATCACAGTTTCAGATAAATTAAAAAAAATAGCACAACTGGAAAACGGGGGAATTTTGTAATCGTAGAGTGGGGAAATAAAAGTAGAGCTAACTAGACTGTAAGACCATAAAAATAAAGATAAACTAGACCAAATAAAAATAAAATTTCTGTGTGGCAAAACCAACCAACCCCACAAAGTCAAAAGATAAATGACAAACTGGAAAAATATATGTAACATCCTAGATCAAGAGCAAATTTCTTTAATATGTAAAGATCTACAGTCAACAAGAGATCAGGCATCCAGTAGAAAAAGGGCAACAGGTGTGAACATTTTCCAGAAAAGTACATATAAATTACTCTTTAAAGATGAAGAGCTCAACCTCATAAGAAAAAAGCATAATAAAATTTCAGTCAGATTAACAAAAATTTAAAAAAACAATATACATTGTCGGTGGGTGTCTACACTTAACATAGCTTCTTTGCGGAGGACAAGTAGCAGTCACTATCAAAATTTAACATAGACTTATCCTTTGACCCAGTAGTTCCACATATGAGAATTCGTCTTACAGCTAGCTATACTTACATAATTGAAATGACTTATAAGCAGTCAGATATTAACTATTATTGTTACTAAGAAATAAAAACAGTTGATAAATATGCTCAGCCTCAATAGTAAAATGGCCATGAAATGCCATTTTTCATTTATCAGATTATCAAAAATGTAAAAAATTGATTCAGTACTTTTAAGGGTAGTGAAAAATTGACACTGATACACTGTTAATGAAAATTAAATTGAAGGCCATTTGACAGATTCTATTAAGATTTAAAATGTGATGTAACAAATACACTTGTAGGAATCTGCCAGTAAAAACGCTTGCACGTGTGTCAAAGATAAATAAATAAGGGTATTCATTTATTATTGTTTTTAACAGGAAAACAACAGAATATAACCAAACAACTAAATAGATTATAGTGTGCTTACCACAGTCTGCTATAGAAGAATGAGTTAGAGCTATTTGTACTAACATGGGAAGATCTGTTGTTAAGAAAAAAGCAAGTTGCAGAATAAATTTTATGGTCTAAGCTTATATATATATATATATATATATGCGTTATGGATTAAATTATGTACCCCAGAAATACGTGTCAACTTGTCTAGACTATGATTCCCAGTATTGTGTGATTGTCCTCCATTTTGTGATCTGATGTAATTTTCCTATATCTTGTAAATCCTAACTTCTGCCTCCAAAACTGAAAAAGAAAGGTTTCCCTTAGAGCTGGCACCATGAATTCAGACTTCTAGCCTCCTAAAGTGTGAGAGAATAAACTTCTTGTTTGTTAAAGCCATCCACTTGTGGTATTTCTGTTATAGCAGCACTAGCTGACTAAGACTGTATATATATATTTTTTAAACCCCATGTACACATTTATATAAATACAGGAGAAACATTTGGAAAGATAAGCATCAAACAGTGGTTTGGGGGATCAGCAAGTAGAATTGAAGATGTGGTTCATGGGAGACTTTACCTTTTAGTTTTATATGAATATTCACAAAGAGCTTACATTTTCTTTCATTGTTAAATTTAAAATATCTGAATATCTGAATAAAAAATTGAACAGTGACAACCAATCATTACTCCCTTCAATACTTGGTTGGCAACTTGGAGCAGAAGCACTAGAGTCAGTTTGGCTGAGGATAAAACAAGTCTGCAGACACATGAAGAATTTGAGAAGTGAAACTAGGTTGCATATTTGAAGCATTCAGGTGGAGCAGGACTTTCTTACATAAGTGGTGCAGTCTTGAAATGTTGAAGAAAACAGCCAGTTCTGGAAAGAGATAAATTTCAGGTCAGAGAAATACATAATATGCTGAACTCTAGTTGCCAGCAAAGTTTATATTCTTTTGTAATACGTGAGATTTTATCTGACATCTTTCTTAACAATAGTATGTGCACCAAAGCACCCCCTCCTGAAGTCCTTTACCCAGATTTTGGATGTAGAAAGATGATGTTTAGAAGAATTGGGCACACCCTACAGTATTCCAGAGAAGTTTTGCACTTTCTTCAGGGAATTACAAGTCTGTAGAAAGTTCGTACAGCCTTTGATTTGGTTATCCATTCTCAAGTTTTGTACTGAAATAGATGAAAGGTAACTCAGTTTGACTCTATTCTAATAAACTGGGCACTCTGGATGACCGTATGTTTTACAATTTAATGTTCATGAGTGGATGTTATGAAAACAAATGTGAACAGAAACCATAAGAGATCCTAGTTTCAGTAACAAAATAATGCAGTCATACTCCTTACCTAACAGTTCCACTTAGACTTTGTCTTAAGGAAATACTGTGTATATAAAAATCTAGATACGCAAGGGATTCGTGGATTCATGAGATGACGACCAATTAAAATTAAAAAAAACAACAAACAGCACTGTTGTGAGGCTGAAAGCCAAAGAAATTTATAGTCGTACTATCCTGGGTTTAGGAAAATGTTTAAGCCTTTTTGGTTAGTGTTTTAATATAAAGAACCACTGGCATGTAATTATTTGTGAGAAATATATATTAAATAAAGTATCTTTCAACAGAAACACACATAAAACAAGGTTATGTATTGATTGCTTGATGACAGTGTTGTGACCAGAGGCTTGCAGGAACCTAACTCTACATTTCTCCTGCGGGTAATGGCTCAGTATTTGCTAATTCAGTGTTCATGGTGGCATTGTTGAACATTACCACGAATAATGAGAATCAGCTGTATTCGATACTGCCCCAGGAAAACAAATGTTTATGTGGCTCAACTTTGGTGTGTTACAGGTCCAGCTGGTTGGTTTAGATGAAGAGAGCTCAGAGTTTATTTGCCGAAACACCTTTGACCATCCATACCCCACCACAAAGCTCATGTGGATTCCTGACACAAAAGGCGTCTATCCAGACCTCCTGGCTACAAGTGGCGACTATCTCCGTGTGTGGAGGGTGAGCAGAAAGCTTGGTTAGCAGCCAGACCAATGAGCTTTCTCAGTGTCTTCTGTTGTTAGCAGCCTGGTTTCATGAAGAATGGACCGGGGTTGGAGACAGTGAGTACTTCTGTGTCTTGGCGGCACAGGAGACCAGGTGGTAGTGTGTCTGCACTGACCTTGTTTGGCTCAGCAGATTTTCTTGTTAAGCCAGGGTTCTTTGAAGTCATGCTGCTGGCTGCAGAGTCAGCTCTGGAAGCCAGCAGCTCAGTTAACCCAAAGTAAAGATGACAGCCAGCTGTGGGGGTGAGGATACTGAGGCTTCTTCTGTTTACAGCCAAGATATTTTTGAGTAAATTAAACAAAATACCAGGCCACTGATTCCAGTAATATATGAGTGGAGCTTGGAGCCTCACCTCTGCTCTCAGCTGAGCTCATGGTCAGTGACACCCCCTACAGCCTAGAGGTCGTGCCCAGCCAGGCAAGGTACATAGAGTCTGGGTTGGGCGAGGTGAGAAGACATCTCCTGTAGAAAGATTTGGGGATGGAAATTTGGAAAGCAAAGCTGGGCAGAGAAGAAGGTTTAGAAAGCAGCCACATTCAGGGAGTTCCTCTGGGATTTATTATTCACCCCCCATGTGTGTTATATCACTAAGATGCTGTCTAGACAGGACTTTAAAGACTTTCTGTGATGCTGTGACTGGTTGACCTTGTAAAACTATTGTTTCTTCAGGTTGGTGAAACAGAGACCAGGCTGGAATGTTTGCTAAACAATAACAAGAACTCTGACTTCTGTGCTCCTCTGACCTCCTTTGACTGGAATGAGGTGGATCCTTATCTTTTAGGTAAGGGAGTTAGGGAGGATGTATTCTAGTTAGAAGGAGGAAAGATACATAGTCTCAGAACATTGGGCCAGTTTTTAACGAGTAACCGGAGGTGCGGGAATCATCTTAGAACAGGACCAAGTGGGAAATAGCAGGCTAAATATGCTAGTGGCTGTTAATTCCTCATATGGAGCTGAACTTTCCATGTGTATCCATCTTGTCTTTCCAACCAGAAAGTCTAAGGTCCTAGGGTGCGGATTGAATGCTTGACTATTTTTGTGGCTCTCACACTACTTTCTACACTCAGAAGTGTCTGTGGGCATGTTACGCCCTGGGCTGGACAGATGAGTAGGCACAAGGAGGGACGCCTGCATGAGAACCTCCCTCCTGCCAGCCACTGACTTGCACTGGTTGCTTTTAGGTACCTCCAGCATTGATACAACTTGTACCATCTGGGGGCTGGAGACAGGGCAGGTGCTGGGGCGAGTGAACCTTGTGTCTGGTCATGTGAAGACCCAGCTGATCGCCCATGACAAGGAGGTAATGATGCTCTGCCTTTTCTCCTTTCCTCACATGCTTTCCAGACCTTCCAGGTGAGAGGGCAGACTCTTCTCTCACTGCTTTCCAAATTACATGGAGAATCATAATATAAATTGAAAATAGTGTGTCAGAACAGTGGAACACTACTGTAAACAATGCGTTGTTTTGGCTTATGTAAACAACGGATCCTGTAGTCTGTCACTGCTCTTTTCATGCCAGAGATTGCTCTTTTTTAATAATGATGTCTCTTATAGGCAAACTGGGAGCTGATGTGATTTAAAAAAAAAAAAAAATCCTTGAGTAACTCTTATCTTGGAACATACTGGGTTTTTCTGGAAGGGGAGGAGGAGAGGGAGGCAGGGAGAGGGAAAATTTTCTGACAGACAAACCTAATTCATCAATGTTTCTCTAAAAATGTTTAAAGGAATTCTAGTATGTTCATTTAATCCTTATATTTTTCATATATTTTGTTTTGATGGTCATGTTCTGTGTTTATTGAAAGAGCTGAGGGGAGCTGTTTGTGATTATGTTTAAATCAAAGCATTCTGGGTGATTTGGAAAATGGTCATGCAGTCTTTTCCTCTGAGAGCTATTACATGTTCCTGGTACTCTGATTCCCTGTAGGTAGTATTTGCTTTTCTTTTCTGCCTTGCCATTCATAGCTAGGGATATTAAATATTTGTAGAGATAAAAAAAATGTTTTGACCTTAGGTCAGAACTTGAGAGGTTGTCAGCAGAGTAGGAGGTTGGTGCCTAGGTTATCATTCTTAGTAAGGGGTTGTTTTTGGCTTTCTGTGCTCCTAAGGGTAAAATCTGTTAGAAGACCACTGGATTTGGCTGCTGTTAAACCAGAGGTCAAAGGAAGAGTTTGTCCTGCAGAGAGGACCAGTAAGGAACTTCTGGAAACCCTCTTGGCATCAGTTGGAACAGGTTGCTACATTTTAGTTATGTGACAACTTAGCCTGCAGTTGTTTGCCAGGAACAGGAAAAACCCAGAAAACAGGAACTAATCTATTTTTCAAACTGAGAGGATTTAATCAAGGGAATTGGTGACATAGATAATGGTCAAACTGAGAAGCCACACAGGGAACAGTGAGGTAAGGCAGTTACTGGGAGCAGCAGAAGGTGCTACTGCCTGTAGGCCAGAGGTGCTAAGGAGGAGGCAGAGGGAGCCCAAGGGCTGGCTTACCTGACAAAAGCTAGAACCATGGAGGAGGCACAGCCATCCCCAGAGATGCTTCCGGGAACAGATAAACCGAAAAACCACTGCTGTCAATTCTGACTCACAGCGACCCTATAGGACAGAGTAGAATTGCCCCATAGGGTTTCTAAGGAGCAGCTGGTGGATTCGAAGTGCTGACTTTTTGGTTAGCAGCCATAGCTCGCTGTAGCTCTTAACCACTGTGCCACCAGGGCTCTGGGAACAGATAAAGGGGAGGAGAAATACCTTAGCTTCTCCCTTTGCTCCCACCATCCAGTTTCTCATCAGTCCTCCCCATTGGCTGAACCCAACCAGAAGCACCCTGCAGACCTGGGACCCTGGCAAACACAGTTTGGAGGACTCAGCTCCCCTGTGATGCACAGAAGAGCAGGGGCAAGGGTCAGGAATGGATCTCACAGCAAACAGGCCCCAGACCAGCGCCCTGGCCTTGAAGAAATGAACCAGCCCAGCGCTGGATGCTCTCTTAGAACTAGTAGTACCCCTAGTGCCTTTGACTTTCCTCAGTCCACCTCTCTGTCAAAATAAAAACTTGTTTGGGGGCTCTCTTTGCTGCCTGGCACATTATTGTAATGGAGGGCTTAGTTTCTTTGGCAGTTATCCCCTTCCCTTTATTTACAGTGGAACATACTTACGGAGCACAGATGAAGGTGCTGTCACTGAAAGCTGAGGGAACTTTACACACTCAGCCTCGTTGTCCATGGGCCTCTCATCTCTTAGTGATCCTGCTTGTGGTGTCTCTGTTCCTGGGAGGTACTAAAAGCCCCTCATTTACGTATTCATTGGTTTGTCACATATGTAATCCATTCCTGCCTGCTGTGTGCCTGGCACTGTAGGGTGTACATATTGATAAAAATGCCTCAGCCCTACAGTTGTCCAGGGCTGAACAAAGCATTGGCTGCTCAGGCTTGTTAGGTCTGTGCACCACCTTGGTGATGACTGGCCCAGTGCTCTTTTGCATCCCTCCTAATTTCTACCATAGAAAGAGCAGTGTCATTTCTTTATAGCCAGAAACAAAAGGAGTTTGTAAGGTTGAATAGAAATAGATGCTCATTCGCAGTGTTCCTGAGTGGGCAGAACCTCAAGAAGTCTGCAGGCACGGTATTGAGCAAGGGGTTCCACTCATGTCTCCCCAGAAGTCAGCTGTCATCTTATCCTCGGCCCCAGGAGATGAGTTTCGTTTAGCATTTGTTTCTCTTTCTGTCCTACTCTCACTCTGCTTGTCTGGTTCTGGCTTTGTCTGTCTGTCTCAGTTGCTTTCTTTCTCTGAAGCTCTCCATTGCTCTCTGCCTCTGTTTTCTCATAGGTGTTAAGGGTGTGCAATGTTTGCAGCAAATAATAAATGCAGAAAATAATTCAAAACCTAACTTGATTCACTTGAATATGAACAAACTTGAAGAAACAGAACATGTCCTGGGACAAGAGAGTGATGTTAAACCTATTTGTGAATATAGGAACCCCTCAGCCTCTGGTGATTCAACACTGATATTGCCTGTTTCTTGCAAATGAGTCTCAGGTCTAGGTTTGACAGCAGAACCAATTTGGCTGCAGTTAAGTGGCCACAGGAGCACTAAGACGGGAGAGGGGCTTCTGTTTCTCAGATTGATGATGTCAGCCTTCGTGTGGTCATGGTCCTGCCTCTGATCACATACAGGTGAAAGCCTCCGAAGCCCAGGAAATAAATACCTCAATCCTGTAGTGCAACAGAAGACAGCCACAGCTCTGGCTTCCAGTGAGCCTGTCTAAGCAGACAGAATACTTGCTCAGAATTACTTGTGCTCTGTTGGTCAGTGGGGCATGTGTCCTAGTTTTATCACAAGAGTTGGAGGAAGAAGACTGAAAAGCAGGATTGTGGGAAGAAGCCTGCCTACTTCTATAGCAGGATGATCTTCACTCCTTGGAAAGCCACTGATGTTAGAGCTCTCGGGTTCTAGTGCCCATAGATACTGTTTGGGTTTCATTTGCCTCCTTCTGTGTCCTGAGCTGGGATTTAGATGAACTGGAGCTGGCAAATTCTCCTGCTAAGGGAAAGGAAGTGATGAATCTGAATCTGAATCTGACAGGAGCTTCTTATTCACTAACAGGTCTATGATATTGCATTTAGCCGGGCCGGGGGTGGCAGGGACATGTTTGCCTCCGTGGGCGCTGATGGCTCGGTGCGGATGTTTGACCTACGCCATCTGGAACACAGCACAATCATTTATGAAGACCCACAGCATCACCCACTGCTGCGTCTCTGCTGGAATAAACAGGACCCTAACTACCTGGCCACCATGGCCATGGATGGAATGGAGGTGAGCCTTCCCCTTCAGGCTAACACAAGCCCTGCTTAGAACAGTGGTTCTCAACTGAGGACAGTTTTGTTCTGTGGGGTACATTTGGCAGTGTGTGGAGACATTTTTGGTTGTCACAATGTCGGGAGACTATTGGCATCTAGTGGGTAGAGGCCAGGGATGCTGCTAACCATCCTGCAGTGCCCAGTTCAGCCCCCCTCAACAAAGAATGATCCAGTCAAAAATGTCATTAGTGCCAAGGTTGAGAAAGCCTGATCTAGAACAAGGACTGTGTGTTAAGAACTTTTAATACTTGGAGAGTTAGACTTGGAGCCAAGAAAAGCAATATCTAAAGAGTGACCCAAATCATATTTGCTATGGTTCTGAGTAGAGAACAGGCAGTTTCCCCTTCTGTAGTTCTGGACAGAATCTTCCAGCTTTAGCAAACAGAGATGGCAACTCTCTCTGCAGCCATCACTTGGTAAAAGTGGTGAATTGTGGGTGGAGATGGAGATGATGCAGTGATTAACTTTGTTTTGGTGAAGCCAGCACTTCAGACTTCTTACACACCGTTTTCTGCTTTTGGGGTACGGCGTACTACCACCGTCACCACTACCTATGCTGCCATCATCACCCAGCTAAGCACGCGGAGAATTCTTATTACGTGTACCTAACAGGGCTTGAATAATAACACACAATGGATTATCTAAACTCATTGTACACACATGTGTACCTAACAGGACTTGGATAGTAACACACAGTGGATTATCCATACTCCTGTTACCACATGTGTACTTAGCAGGACTTGGGTAATAACACACAATGGATTAGCCATACTCCTATTACCTGCTCCTGCTTCTCCCTTCCTTGCATCTCAGTCTAAAGACCCTGTGTTGCTTCACATACAATCAACTGCCTGGGTCCTTTTTGTTTTCTTTTTTCACAACCCTGTAGCTACTTTTGGGACCAAGATCCCAAGTCTCTAATATTCTTAAAATCCACCAGTGAAAAAGTATCCTTTAAAAGATATTTTTCTTGTTTAGTGTGCTGTTTCTTGTTTTTGTTTTTCTGTTACATACTGAAGTTTCCTGGGCCTTTTACTTGTTATTTCTGCAGGTGGTGATTCTGGATGTCCGAGTTCCCTGCACGCCTGTCGCCAGGTTAAACAACCATCGAGCATGTGTCAATGGCATTGCTTGGGCCCCACATTCATCCTGCCACATCTGTACTGCAGGTAACCATGTGGGGGTATGTGTAGATGGGAGAGATAAAGAGATTGATCACTCTTATCTCCTTAGAACTGTAATCCTTACTATTTTCCAAGGACAGTTTGAGAGCTTTATACCAAGTAACTCAGTTGGGAGCCTCCCCACGCTTGTGAAATTGAAGCAGTTCAGATTTCTAGAAAACCTTGAATCCTCAGTGAATATCAGAGCATCCTGATGTACTGTTTACATCGTGCCTCACACAGTCCCCTGAAATCTAGGTGCAGGGCCTCCTCTTGGATGTAAAGGGGTCTTTGGGACTGCTGGGGTTGACAGCTTCCTGGGCCCTTTCAGGCTTCACTGTAGCAAACCTGCATTGGGTGCTGGTTGTCTTGAAGAGTCCTGCATAGCCCTGTCTAGCCAGTAGCGTGTGACCTGTAGTTCCCATTTCAACATTTGCCAAACCAAAGAGAGTGCCCCTTAAAAATACCCCAGTCATCACTGTGTTTTTATTCCAGAAATAATGTCTTATTAAAAATTAAAATAATACAAAGGTATATAAAATAGGAAGGTGAAAGTTGTCCTTTGTCCTTCCTGTCCCACTTCCACCTCACTCCTGTCTCTAACAACAGATGTGTCTCCTTCCAGTCCCTTTTCTTGTGTATACATGTGTCCGCACATACACCCGGAAGTAAATATATCTCCCTCTCATGCACAGATGGGCTTCTACTGTGTCGCTGTGGTGTTCTCCTTTTTCAGTGCATCAGATTTCCCTCCAACACACTTTCCCCTCTCCACGTGAATCGGGAGCATCCTCATCTCCTTGTTCATTATGGAGCCAAAGAAGCAATGGAGTTTGGCAGTTTTCTCCATTTGAGGGTTAATTTGAAAGGCATGAAGCTTTCGTGATTTGGTCCCTCTGCTCATGCCTGAATGTTTCATGGAGGAGCAGTTGGGGACCCACTGCCACCTTATGTACCTCAGGCTGTGGTCTGACTTCTTTGTTACTGGCCCCTGTTTTCTAGGGGTATGGATAGTGAGGGGTGAGAGGGAAAAAAGAAAGGCATCAGCATTGTTCGTGGAGAGCAGCCCTAGGCCCTGGGGAAGCCCTGTCTCCTGCTTCTGGCCAGCTCTCTCTGCCTGGCTCACTGCTGGTGTGTGTGCTGCACCTGTGTTGAATCACTTCCATTGAAGGAGGTGTTGCGAGGCTTGTACTTGGTTGAGTGTTGAGGAAAAGGAACTTAGTGCATTCCAGGTGCTGAGTGTTTAAAACATTTCCTTGGATCTTTTTTGACACAGATTGTCCCAGAAGGAGGGTATCACACCTTGCCCAGGTGGTGCGGCCTTGGCAGGAGGCCAGTGTTGCCCACAATTAGCCTGACCTTTTAGGATCTAGTGTTATCAGAGTCGGGCTTTCACAGCAGGATGGGCTGATGTATTGGGGGACACTGTGGCTCTGAGGTCCATTGCTTTTTTTATTTTTTTCTTTTAAATTAAGATTTATTTGTTTGATTATAAATATAACATGGCTACGTTACAGATAATTTAGTAACTAGAGGGAAAGAAACAATAAACCGTAGCCTTGCCCTCCTAATACTACCATAGTTCTCATTTTGGTGTGTGTATGTGTGTGTATATATACCCTGGTGGTACAGTGGTTAAGAGCTCAGCTGCTAAACAAAATGTCAGCAATTCAAATCCACCAGCTGCTCCTTAGAAACCCTATGGGGCAGTTCTGCTCTGTCCTATAGGGTTGCTATGAGTCAGAATCGACTCAGCAGCAGTGGGCATATATATATATGTGCATATTTTTTTTTTATTTATGTTTTTGCTTATATACATTTTTAAGATGATTAGCTTCCTTGTGGTGTTTTCCATAGCCCTTTTCTTGGGGAAAAAAAAAATTTCTTTTTTAATAGCACATTTCCACACAGCGCTTCATTTATCTCAGTTATCTGTATAACACTGCATTGAAGGATAAATGTCTGTAAAACAGGAAAAAGAAAACAAACCACACATTAAATTGACTCATCAGAGAGAGAGATCTTTAACTACTCGATCTTAAGTGGCTGCAATGACATCTTTTTGAGGATTGTTTTTATCCCATTGGCCTTTGCTGATGCCTGACCCAGAGGCGAGTTGCCCACCTACATTCCATTGCAACGTCATAGTCCTTGTGCAGTGAATGGGGCCCTGGAACACGAGTCCTGGCTTTGTCCTTCACTAGCTGCATGGCTGTGTGGTTTTGGACAAGTGCCTTAGAATTTGTGAACCTCAGTTTCCTCATCTATAAACAGGGACTTTTAAAAAAAACCTCCCTCATAGGGGTTTTGGTGAGCAAATGCTTTGTGAACTGACTCAGTCCCCAAATACAGAGATCATTATCTTCATTGCCTGAGTTGTGACCTTGCTTGCTGGTCTTCTTTGTCCCTAGCGGATGACCATCAGGCTCTCATCTGGGACATCCAGCAAATGCCTCGGGCCATCGAGGACCCTATCTTGGCCTACACAGCTGAAGGAGAGATCAACAACGTGCAGTGGGCATCGACGCAGCCCGACTGGATTGCCATCTGCTACAACAACTGCCTGGAGATTCTCAGAGTGTAGTGCTGGTGCTGCCAGGCCCACGAGGCAGGGCCTCGTGTGTTTCCCGCCTCTGCTCCACCCCCAAAGTAAGAAGAAACATGTTTCCAGTGGCCAGTATGTCTTTCGTTGCTTTGCACCCACTGTTACCAGAAGCTGCTCTAGGAGTTCTTGGCCAGTCACCCCATTGCTCTCTGGGCTGGACTCAGCGCTCTGTGGCGCCTCCTCAGCCCCAGGGCTGAGTTTTAAGATTTCTCTCCTTTCCTCTTCTCCTTTGGTCACTCAGTTAAAAATCTCTGTATGTTTGTCAGCTGTTGTATTCACGAGCATCACAGGCACTGGCCACGTTTGTCTTTATCTGCCCTAGATGTCTGTCTGTCTGCTGCCCGAGGCAACAATCCATGGCCTGTCCTTGTCCTCGTCCATGTCCATGTCAGCACTTAAAGTGGGAACAAATACCAGTTACGAAGTTGTCTTTCCTCTGTCTATCAGTGTCTTTAACAAATTTCAACTTTGTATATTTTTTATCTACCAGGCTAATTTTTTTATGAAAAGAATTTTACTCTCCCTGGTTTCTTCCTTTGTTTCATATTTCTCCCTGGTGGCACCCTCCTCTCTTTCCTCAGTGCCTGGAGCTGGCACTGGGCCCTGACCTCATGAGCAGTTTGCCTTCTTAAATCACTGCTTCAGTGGTTTGTACCTGACCAGGAGTCCCAAACTGCCTTGGTGCTCTGAAGTCGGCCAACTCATCACACCTTTTTCTCATCCTGGCTCTTCTCAAGGGCATTCTGGGCTCCCAAACAAATGCAGGACACTTTCTTTTGAAGTACCTCTGTCCAACCCCTTGGGAACGTGGTAGAGCTGAGGTAGACTGGCTACTTAGAGTGCATCTTTAGAGGGGAACAGCTTCAGGAAAGCTGAGCTTGGAGCATATTTTCAGTACATAGTTTCAGAGTCTGTTTTTCCCTCAAACTATAAAACCCAGGCCATTCCACTTTCTGTCTTGAATGATTGGCAAGAATGATCTGTAAGCTGAAGTTAGGTATTTCTCTTTGTTTTGTTTCCTGTGACTTGACTTATGGAATATTGGCCACTGTTTGAACGGAGTGCTCTGAGGTGAGAGTCCTGCTTGAGAGGTATACTGTCTGTACTTTGAACAAGGTTCCCATTAGAGTGTGGGAGATTCAGCTCTTGTAAGGAATGGACTCATCAACTGTGATGATCCGAGACCGCCAAGTAAATAGATGGTTAGAAAAGTCTTGGACCCCAGGGTCAGCCAGGTAAGAGCTCTACCCACACTGTCAGCATTCCTTCCCCCCATCATTTGGGTTCTGAGCAGTATTGGCCTTCTAGGCTGCAGGTGTCTGTTTCCGTTATGCGAATGAGTTGCTTGGAGGATGCTTGTGTGTGATTCTCCTGTTAGGTCTGTCCTTGGGGCAGTCTGGGAAGCACACTGGGGTGCGGGGAGAGGCTAGGAGTTTTCTTGGCTCTTCCGAATACTCGGAGGTGTCTTAGACCCTCTCATTTGCCTATCCGAGATGAGAGTAGCAGGCGCTAAGGCCAGTGGTTTTGCCCACTTAGGCTCACAGCAGCTCTCGGGAAACAAAACAGTTAACTTCATTCTTCTGGGCCCTTAAACCCTTGGTTGGCTCTTCCTTTTCAGAAGCAGATGTATTTGTGTCCCAAAAGTCATAGCTCTTTGCTTTACTACACAGGAGCTTGTTCCAAAGAAATAGGTTCTTTTTTCTCAGTCAGGGTGTTTCTCCTGCCTTCTCACTTTCTTCTTCTGATGTTGGGACTCTTCCGGTGACCGTCCTGCTCAGGGTCGTCTCTCCCACATTTTCCGCTGGATTTACGAGGGGTCATTTGGAGATGTAAAGTGAGCAGTTCTTTGTCAACACCCCCCTCTGCTTTTAGTTGTTTTTGATCGTGGTTACAGGGTCCATTCTAAAGGGTAGCAAGTCTCATTTGATTGGTTGCTTGCTCTAGGAGGCTATCAGTTCCTTCCTGTGGAAAAAAGTCTCACATGGTGGGCGGAGTGGTAGAAGGGTCTGGTCCTGCCAGGGCAATGCTTGACTCTGCCGAATTCTTAGTTAAGGTTCCTTTCCTGATCTGCACTTAAATCTGGTCTGAATGGTGAGAAGGTTTGTCAACTGGAATGCAAAACAGCCTGTGGGGAAAGACGTAGTCAATAATAGTAACTAGAATGTATTTGGATAAGGTAGCTATTTACTCTGGAAACCAACAAGTTTTGATGGTTGTTTTTTTTTTCCTTGCCCTGTGGCCTCCCAGCGCTATCATCCTTGCAGCTATGCTCCTCCTTTTGCCATCCCACCTGGGGCCCAGGTGAGACTCCCTAGACACCCACAGATAGTCCCATTTGCTGGTATTTGGAAGTCCCTCCCTCTTACCCTCCCTGTACTACACAGGCCAGGTGGCTCACGGATGAGGATTGGATTTCTGCGTTTTCAGGATTTAGGAAGCCTCTTAGTCAGCTGTGCTCCAGGAAGCACAGATCTATTGCAGTTTTCAAAGCAGGTCTTTTATTTGTTAAATCGACAGCCAGAGAGTGAGTGAGAAGCTCTGGATCCTCTAGTGGGAGGAGAGCAGCTGTTAGAACTTTATGAGGAAGGCCTGTGGTGGCACCTCTGGGCTCTGGCTCAGCTAGTGGTGGCCCTTTGACTTGCTCTTGGTCCAGAACTACCTTTCTCTTTTCTTGGTCTGCTCTGAGGAGAAGTGGAGGTACTAAGTAAATTAGGCCTTGGGTCTCCACCATCAGAGAGCTGGTGAATGGGAACGAGTCATTCAAGGGCTCGAGTCCCTACACTTGGGAGAGTTTAAACCCTCTCCTTCCAGGGAGGAATTGCCCTCAAGTTAGGACTTGAAGAGGGAAGATGTGTGATACCTAGGTGAGAATTTCTCATCAGAACCAGGGTTGGCTTTTGGAAAGCTGGCTAAGATTTGGGAAGAACCAGAAAAAAATGAGAATCCTACAAGATTTTGGTGGTAGTTATGGCTTAATTTTTAGGAGGAGAGTTTAAGATGTGGGAGAAAATCAATGGTGTTTCTTTAGCGCAAAGAAGGACTGTTAGAGGGCAGTAAAGGTATGAGGCGTGGAAGCATTCAGACTCTCCATTGCCAGGCTGTGGAGTGAGACTGCCTTCAGCCTGGACCAGCCTTCCTGGGCCATTAACTGGGCATCCATGATGCTGGGTAACTGTAGGGACAGGACAACAGCTGGGGGCAGAGGGATCCCCTCCCTGCAGCATTGTAGCTGTAGGTGATGTTTGGTTTAAAAAAAAAATCTGCAGGCTCTTGGAGTCCTGTGACCGTCCCAGACGGTGGGTCTTCTTGGTTGTAGGTTTATACTGAGCAGAAGAAGCAGAGGTTGTATATGGCCATGCTAGCTTTTCTCCTCTTTTTTCTCTTCTCTTCTTTTCTGCTTAGCTTTCCACTCCCTTTCTAATGTAGAACTTTCTCCCCACTGTAACCTGGGCCTTGAATCCCTAGGTTGTAAAGACATGTAGGAGCTGCAGGGTTCACCAGACATGGGAGAGCCAGCCCAGTGCCACCCCTCCACCTTCCTCTGCCTGAGAATATGGAAACTTGGGGTAGGGAGGCCACTGAAGTAGAGGTCTTGAAGCAGACTCTTCCCTCTGTCTCTGCACTCCAGGTTGAGGAAGGAGGGCCATGCTTGGCACTTAAATTGAGTTTTCCCTGAGAGAAAAGCTGAGCTGAGCAAAGTCACTGTGAACCCTGGCCAGGCTCTCAAAGAGCCATCTTCTCTACTGGCTGGGCCAGCTACTGAGAGTGTCTTATGTCACGGAGCCTTGCCCACCTCTCCCACCTGCACCCTCTTCTTCCACAGTTTTCTTTGCTGCTAATGGTAAAAGTCAAATGTGTGGCCACATGGGATGGGCCAGGTCCTCTCAGGCTACTTTCTGGATGCTGTTTTTAAAATATGGTAACATGCAGGTGCCTTTCCAAAGAGGCTTGGACTGGTGTCTCAAACCAGAAACAAGAACTCAAGAAGAAAGATGTTGGCAGTCTGTGTAACAGCTGGAAAATGCACCCTCCTTGGAACAACCCGGTGAATATGAACTTGTGATATCTACTATTTAAAAGAAATGCTCTCACCTTGGGTTGCTCATGGTGTACAGTGTGATATGAAACTCGCTGAGCTGAAGCTCTGAATTGCTTTCAAGTATAAATCATTTGCTTTGGGTCCTTTGTATTTTATGACCCGCTCTGTCAATGACTTCCCACCCCCCTCCCCCCTAGTGTGAATTTGTAGCATGATTGTATAAACCCCTGTGTAGAAAATGGACATTTCTTGTTCTCCGAAATGTTAAGCTCCAGCCAATCAATTTCTGTCCCTTTTAGCCTAGTGTGTCTGAACTGACTTTCTTGTTATGTATTTAAACTTTCATGCTCTACTGTAGGTTTTATGGCATCCCATGGTCAGGTGGACTGGAAGCTGCCCCTTGCAGAAGTGTACTGTAACCATTTTTCTTTTTTAAATATTATTTTCACAGGACGGATTGTACACAGACAGGGCTTGTAATAAAATTTGAACACTGTGCTGTGAAACCACAATGGGGAGTCTCCATTGAAGATCACTTCAGAGACACCTGCAAGTGGAGTGTTGTTAGGTCTGTGACTTGATTTCTTGCTTCCTAAGTACATTAAACCTAATTGTCACCCTTTCATTCTGTTTCAGCCTCCTGTATAAGAAGTACCGTATTTTCTGCCCATCATACTTTGTAATAAAACTTGAACATGTATAAATTGGCTCAATTTCTGCTTGTGATGAATTCAGTTCTTCCCATTCTGCAACTGTGGTCACATTCCAGAGACAAAAACTCCTCGTTTGTCACTGACTTGGTTGATTAGATGCTCCCCTTGCCCTTCACATCTGACAGCCTGACTCCTGTTTGAGCATTCGCTTGTCATTCAGTTAACAAAACCCAGAGCACCTGCTCTGTCCCAGGGGCCATGGTTACTTGCAGTCTAGCAGAGGAGACATCCACGTAAGCAAGTGCTTGCAGTGCGTGCAACAGTAGGGATGTGTTCAGGCATGCTAGAGGACCTGAAGCGGGGGTCATCACCTCTACCTGGGTGGCACCCAAGAGGGTCAGGGAAGGCTTCATAAGATGAAGGATGCTTCAAGTGGGTTTTGAAGGCTGAGTAGGAGTTCTCTGGAATAGGGAGTGGCATTTAAGGCAGAGAGAACATCCATGTACAGACCTATCTATGGTGGCAGGAACAACATGGTCATGCTCCGAGAATGACAACAATTTGGTGTAGGGTTTTGTGGGGGGAATGGTGGGAAATATGGCTAGGGAAGTAAACAGGAGCCAGATCAGGGAGGGTCCGAGGCTGGAGAATTTACATAGAGGGGAATCATGATCAGAATTGAAGGATAGGCAGTGAAGAAAGCGCCTCCGAAAGGGGTCAAGACAGAGAATCAGTTTCCCTATTTTGATAGGGTGAGAGAGAGAAAAGCCTAAACCAAGGCAAGAGCAACAGGGATGGAGAAGACAGGGCAAAATGGAAGAGATTTAAGAGAATAATCAGGATTTGGTAGTCTCTTGGCTGTGAAGGATGACAAAGAAATGATAACTCCCAGATCTCTGGGTTTGGACGCCAGGCTCTGATGTCTTACTAGAAGTTTCCAAGTCCAAGCCAGTTTCCTAAACCTATGCCCCAAATGATAGAATGGGGGAAGGAGTCCCTATCCCTGTTGCTATTCAAATGCTGTGGGTCCTAGATGAAATACTGCCCCCATTTATGTTTGTTCTTATGCTTTGCTCATGTTGAGCTATTTTAAGAGAAGAGAAGGAAGTCAAATTGTGATTGGTTCAGTTAGCCAGTATTTAGTAAGTGCCTGCCATTGTGTCAGGGACCATGAAGCTGGTGGTGGCAGAGGGGCTGTGAAGAGAAGTAGGTACTTTTTGAGAGTTTAAACTTCATGTGGCAAAATGAGCACCTGATGCCTTTGTTGGGACAGTGCTATATGGTCTGACAACTTGTATTCCACGGGAAATACATTACTCTTGCTCTCTGGTATTTAAAGGGAAAGCTGGGAGATTGGTACTGACCACCTTTATCCAGAAGGTGAGGTTATGCTGCAGTAACAAATAAGCCCCCAAATCTGAGAAGACTCAACATGATGAAAGTTTATTTTTTGCCTACACAAAGCCCTTTGGAGGTTGGTCAGCCCTCCTCCATCTTGTAGCTATGCCATCCAGAACACGTGGCCTCCAAAGTTGCTTTGGAGGAGGGAGAGAGGTTTTTGAGGGTAGGCCTGGAAGCGGCTTACTTCTGCTCATAGCTGCCAAACGTAGTCACGTGGTTCCAACCTAACTGCAAGGAAGGTCAAGAATCGTGGCCTTCCTGTGTGCACGGGAAAAGGAAATAAAATGCAAAAATAGCAATGTTTTCACCACACCACAAATTAAAGTATCTGGAATAATGAGTGTCATCTCATTCATTGAGGGCTGTTAGTTAGTATTGGACAACACATGTTTAAGCCTAATAAAATGATACCTTCAGTCTTTAGCTCCCAGGGCTCCCTTGTTAGTTTTTAAGTGATTTTGATGATCTAGACACAGGCCTCTAGAAATTGCTCAAGCACCTGTAAATTTATCTTGGGGAAAGTAAATACTAGCTCAGACTGAGAAGGTAAAAAGCTGCTCTGCCATTCATCACAGATAAACAGACACAGATAAAACCAGCTGCAAAGTTAATAGGCCACTATTTCTCCCAAGCATATACTGAGCTGTAAAGTGTCATAACTACTCCCTTCTCTGAGTGATGACTTTTTCCTTTTTTCACTCACTAAGAAACTTCGTTCTCTAAACTCATAGACTTTAGAAGGTTTGCTGTTTGAAATTACATCAGTGAGAAGGAAGCATTACACTCTTATTTATTTTGTTGTTGAGACTATGGACAGCAAAAACATACACCAACAGCTTCTACATGTACAGTTCAGTGACATTAATTACATTATTTGAGTTGTGCAATCATTCTCACCCTCCTTTTCCAAGTTGTTCCTCCCCTGTTAATAACAACTCACTGCCCCCTAAGGTTCCCATCTAATCTTTCAAGTGAAGCATTTCACTCTTGCTTGGAGGATCTCAGTCACAGAGACAAAGAGAAGCAGTCTTGATTTCCAACCTAGGTAAAGAGCTTCCAATAAAGGGTTTCTGACAACATTCCACATTTAAGTTTGTAGTTTCCAGGGAACCAAACCCTAGGTCCACTTCACAGTTCAGAGCAAATATATTGACTCCTTTTTCATACAGCTCTGTATTCCTTTGAGGCTATCAAAACTCTTATTTCATTTACATTTCCCCTAACCTCCATCCTCCCAAATCCTATAGTATCTACCTGTCCCTTTGGGTGAGACACTCACTGCCCTCTGATGTACAGTCCTTGTCGCAGTGAGTCAATAAGCCTGTCTTTGTTGGACTATAGATTTGCCACGGCTGCGTTGAGGCTGATTGGGGTAGGACAGTCTCAAACCTTGTCTTGGCCTCTACTTCTATTTGTGATAATAAATTCCATTAATTTGCTTTTTGCTCTTCAAAGTAGCATTCATTTTAAACTATATTTTTAAATTATAAGAAGTAGTATATATGGATGACTAGTAAGCACATGAAAAGTTGCTCAAGATAATTAGTCATTAGGGAAATACAAACCAAAACCACAATGAGATACCACTTCACACGTATTAGGGTGGCGATAGCTATAATAAAAAAGAGATAAGTGTTGGTGAGGATGTGGAGAAATTGGACTCTTCACACACCGCCGGTGGAAATATAAAATGATGCAGCCACTTTGGAAAACTATCAGTTCCTCAAAAGTTTAAACATAGAGTTACCATAAAAACAAAACCCAAACCCACTGCCGTCGAGTCGATTCCGACTCATAGCGACCCTATAGGACAGAGTAGAACTGCCCCATAGGGTTTCCAAGGAACAGCTGGTGGGTTCAAACTGTCAACCTTTTGGTTAGCAGCCGACCTCTTAACCACTGCGCCACCAGGACTCCAGAGTTACCATATGACCCAGCAATTTCACTCTTAGGAACATACCCAAGAGAAATGGAAACATATGTGCATACAAAAATTTGTACATGAATGTTCATAGCATTATTCATAATAGCACAACAATTTAGTATCATGACAGGGACAAACATTTTGATATAAAAAGGTAAGTGCTAGGGTACAGACATACATGAAGGGTTATGTGAGCACAGAATAGAGCATATGAGCCCAATCGGAGAACTTGGGAGATGTTTTCCTCTGATGGGAAATGATGCCTGAACTGAATCTTGAAGGAAAAACAAGTTAGCCAGGTGATATAGGGTGGAAAACAGACTGGCAAAGATACATGTTTGAGATCAATACAGGAATTGGGAGAAGTACTAGTGGCAATCTGGTGTTTTTAATCTGCGAATTACAGGAGGGGAGTGCTGGACCCATCACTAAGTAGCTTGGATAAAAGAAGGGAAAAAATAAATAATTCGAAAGTGACCTAACTACTAGTTACAACCAAACATTGACAGGACTCAGAATGCTTCACCAAGGAGGTGACAGCTGAATTGGGTCTTTAAGCATAATAAAGATTTCACCAGGGAGAACAGCTTATACAAAGGCAAAGAGGTGATAAAGAACATGTAGTCAGAGTATAGTGTGTAATTCCTTCCAAATGGAGTGTAGTGTTAGGACATGAGACTGGAAAAGGAGTAGATCGAGATTACAGAAGTGCTTATATAAGCACTTGTATTTTGCATCCATTGTCCCATTTAATCCTTGCAAGGCCATTCTACAGGTAAGGAAACTGAACCATAGGGAAGTGAAGGAACTTGCCCGAGGTTACACTTGTAAGTGGGTCAACCTGGGTTTGAACCCACCCAGTCTAACTCCAGAGGCCATGAGTTTAGGCTTCACACTGTCCTGCTTCCCTACCTAACACACCAAGTAGTTTGGATTTAATCTTATCAGCATGGAGAGCCACTGGGAAGTTTTTCAGCAGCTGCCACTTTATTTCTTCTCCACCTTCTCCTCCTGATGACCTTGTTTTTCTCTTTGGGGAGAACACAGGGAAATTTAGTTGGGTACAGAATGCTCTTCTGATCTTCCTCCCTCTCCTGAATGGTGTGTCTCACTCAACTCTGGCCCAAGCCATCTTTTGCATTTGGGGACTTAATCACTATGCTGCCATTTACACAAGACTTTATTATTTTAAAATGCCAAGGACTTATTTTGTATTTTCAATCTTTCTGTGTTGGTAAAACAAGTAGTAGCATCCTTCTTTCTAGATAGGGAAGAAAAAGTTCAGAGAGATTAAATGATTAGGCTAATGGGGGACAAATCACATCTCCGGGCGGTGGTTTCTTTTGTTTACCTGTAAAATGAGGAGATTGAACTACATATTCCACTGCAGCAACAACAAAACATTTATCATTCTGGACCTGCTCAAAGTTGGGAAGCAATCTGGAAGCCGTATCAGTTTCATAACTCAGATACGAGTTTTAGTATAAACTCATACTAGATCATTGTGGGAAATAACGTCCGGGCCTCCCCCAGGCAACTGGGAGGGATCGAAAACGGCGTCGTCCCTTCTCCGCCTGGGCCCGGCTCAGGCGATAGGGAGGAAGGCGTACTGTGTGGTGGCGGAACAGATTTTGCCAGCCATGGGGACGTGTTTTCGCAACGGACCCATAAAGGAAGTGTGCTTCACCAGCCAGGGCCCCCTTCCCAGGCTGCCGCGGGACGGCGAAGGGTCAATCGTCCAGCTGTCCCGGACAAACCTGAGCCTTTGGGTCTCCGGTGACCGGCCGAGGCGGCCGTGGACTCTGGGCCTGCGGACAGGACGGGCTGACCTTGGCCACTGTTATTTCTAAGTTGCAGCCCAGGGTCGCACCGGATGGCAGTCTGGGCTGCCGCCAGCCTGGGCAGGGCTGCTGCCTGCTGCTTGCGGGCGCGAGGCCCCGGGACCCGGTCGCCTTTTCCGCGGCTTCCCCCGTCCTCTCAACCCGAGCCGCCGGGAGGCTGCCCCGCTCTGGGCAGGACGCTGCACCTCACTGCGGCGGTTCTCGCCGGGCACAACAAGTGGTCCAAAGTCCGGCATATCAAGGGTCCCAAGGACGCCGAAAGGAGTCGCATCTTCTCGAAGCTCTCGCTGAGCATCCGCCTGGCGGTTAAAGGTGAGAGCCTGATGGTCATCCACTTCAGGTGGGTACTGGCCGCAGGTACCCGCTTCGTGCCCCAGGCCTTGCTTGCCTCCCAGAGCTGGGCCAGGCCTCACCCTGTTAAACCAAAACCAAACCTACTGCCATCGAGTGAATTCCGACTCATAGCAGCCCTATAGAACAGAGTTGAACCGCCCCATATGGTTTCCAAGGAGCGGCTGGTGGATTTGAACTGCCGACCTTTTGGTTAGCAGCCCGTAACTCTTAACCACTGCACCACCAGGGCTCCTTCTCACTAAGTGGTGTGGTGACCTGCCACTCTTTTGACTGAGGGGTTAGGTAAAACCAAAAAGCCAAACCAAATCCATTGCTATCGAGTCGATTCCAACTCATAGCGACTCTATAGGACAGACTAGAACTGCCCCATAGGGTTTCCTAAACTATAATCTTTATGGGAGCAAACTGCCACAGCTTTCTCCTGCGGAGTGGCTGGTGGGTTTGAACTACCGACCTTTTGGTTAGCAGCCAAGTGCTTAATTAACTATTGTGCCACCAGGGCTCCTTGGGGGTGGGGTGGGGTTAGGGAAGGGGACTCTTACTGTTGTTAGGTGTCATTGGGTCAGTTCCAACTCACAGCAACCCTGTGCACAACACAACTAAGCACTGCCCAGTCCTGCGCCATCCTCACAATTGTTGCTCTGTTTGAGCCGATTGTTGGAGCCATTGTGTCAGTCCATCTCCTTGAGGGCAATATTTTCTCTGTTTATCATAATATTGCTTATTGGTCCAGTTGTGAGGATTTTTTCTTTATGTTGAGATGTAATCCATACTGAAGGCTGTAGTCTGATCTTTGTAAGTAAGTGCTACAGGTCCTCTTCACTTTCAGCAAGCAAGGTTGTGTCATCTGCATATTGTAGGTTGTTAATGAGTCTTTCACCAATCCTGATGCCATGTTCTTCATATAGTCCAGCTTCTCAGATTATTTGCTCAGCATACAGATTGAATAAGTATGGTAAAAGGATACAACCCTGATGCACACCTTTCCTGATTTTAAATCACGAAGTATCCCCTTCTTCTGTTCAAACGACTGCCTCTTGGTCTGTGTACAGGTTCTGCATGAGCACAATTAAGTGTTCTGGAATTCCCATTCTTCACAATGTCATCCATAATTTGTTATGATCCACATGGTCCAAAGCCTTTGCATAGTCAGTAATACACAAGTAATCATCTTTCTGGTATTCTCTGCTTCCAGCCAAGATCCATCTGACGTCAACAATGATATCCCTTGTTCCAAGTCCTCTTCTGCATCCGGCTTGACTTTCTGGCAGTTCCCTGTCAGTGTACTGTTGCAACCATTTTTGAATTATCTTCAGTAAAATTTTACTTGCGTGTGATATTAATGAAATTGTTTGATAATTTCCACATTCTGTTGGATCACCTTTCTTTGGAAAGGGTACAAATACAGATCTCTTCCAGTCTGTTGGCCAGGTAGCTGTCTTCCAAATTTCTTGGCATAGACGAGTGAGCATCTCCAGTGCTGCATCTGTTTGTTGAAACATCTCAATTGGTACTCCATCAATTCCTGGGGCCTTGTTTTTCGCCAACGCCTTCAGTGCACCTTGGACTTCTCCCTTCAGTACTGTTGGTTCTTCATCATATGCTACCTCCTGAAATAGTTGAACATCGACCAATTATTTTTGGTACAGTGACTCTGTGTATTCCTTCCATCTTCTTTTGATGCTTCCTGCGTCATTCAATATTTTGCCCATAGAATCCTTCAGAATTGCAACTTGAGCCTTGAATTTTTTCTTCAGTTCTTTCAGCTTGAGAAATGCTAAGCGTGTTCTTTCCTTTTGGTTTTCTAACTCTTTAAGTCTTTGCACATTTCAGTATAGTCACCATTTATGTTGTTGAAAAAAGGTATTTGCAATGAATATGTGGTTGGTCTTGTAAATTCTATCATGCGATCTCTGGCGTTGTTTCTGTCACCAAGGCCATATTTTCCAACTATTAATCCTTCTTCTTTGTTTCCAGCTTTTGCATTCCAGTTACCAGTAATTATCAATACATCTTGATTGCATGTTTGATCAATTTCAGACTGCAGAAACTGTTAAGAATTTTCAGTTTCTTCATCTTTGGCATTAGTGGTTGGTGCGTAAATTTGAATAATAGTTGTATTAACTGGTCTTCTTTGTAGGTGAATGGATATTATTCCATCACTGACAGCATTGTACTTCAGCTCTTGAAATGTTCTTTTTGACGATGAATGCAACACCATTCCTCTTCAAGTTGTCATTCCTGGCATAGTAGACCATATGATTGTCTGATTCAAAATGGCCAATACCAGTCCATTTCAGCTCACTATTGCCTAGGATATCAGTCTTTATGCATTCCATTTCATTTTTGACGGCTTCCAATTTTCCTAGATTCATTCTTCATACATTTCCCGTTCCAATTATTAATGGATGTTTGCAGCTGTTCCTTCTCATTTTAAGTCATGCCACATCCGCAAATGAAGGTCCTGAAAACTTTACTCCATCCACGTCGTTAAGGTTGACTCTACTTTAAGGAGGCAGCTCTTCTCCAGTCATATTTGAGTGCCTCCCAACCTGAGGGGCTCATCTCCTGGCACTGTAACAGTCAATGTTCTGCTGCGATTCATAAGATTTTCACTGGCCAATCTTTTTAGAAATAGACCTCCAGGTCCTTCTTCCTAGCCTGTCTTAGTCTGGAAGCTCCGCTGAAATCTGTATACCATGGGTGACCCTGCTGGTTTTTGAAATACTGTTAGCATAGCTTCCAGCATCACAGCAACACGCAAGCCACCACAGTATGACAAACTGATAGATAAGTGGTGGAGAAAGGGACTAGAAACCCCTTTTTTCTTCTGAGCTGTAATCAGATATTTTCACTCACTCTTTTCTCTCTGTCTCAGAGGGAGGTCCCAACCCCGAGCTCAACAGCAACCTGGCCAACGTCTTAGAGGTGTGTCGCAGCAAGCACATGCCCAAGTCCACGATTGAAGCAGCGCTGAAAATGGAGGTGTGTCCTTAGTTTGACTTTCTTGCTATTGATCGCAATCCCCACAGGGTCCATGTCTGGAAGACTGCCAAACACTCCTTAAATTATCAGAGAGAAGGGTTGCAATGAGGTTGACATCCTCAACTCAGAGCTCTGGGGGCTCTCTGTCCTTGGCCATTGCTTGCAGGAGCACAGTCAGGAGTAGGATGGATAGACAGTGTCCAGGGCCATCAGCCTAGGACTGCTCAGCCCATTTGTGAGGAGATGGGGTAGAAGAAAGGGCACAGTATGGGGAAAGTTCTGGTACTGGATTGAGGAATAATTTGTTTTTCTTTATTAGATGTGTATGCCCGAAGGAGAAAAGCTAGTAGTAAAGGAACGGGTGCAGATGATAGTGATGGTGGGAGGGACAAGGATATAGAGTCCAGGTGTAGGAATTATCCTCAAACCCAGATGAAAGGACACCTTTTCTTCTGGGACAAGTAGGAAGAATCCGACGAAGTAATCATCTTAACAGTTAATGGTTACTGAGTGCTTACTCTGGGCCAAGCACTTTGATGAGAATTGTACGTGCGTTATCGTATTAAATCTGCAAAACAATTTTAAGCGGAAACTGAGGCACAGAAAGGTAAGGTGATTTGTCCCGGGTCACACAGAAAATAACAGACTTGAAACTAGAGTCCAGGGCCTGTGCGCTAACCTCCATGTGTAGATAAGGTGGTGGAGACAGAAAGAGGGCTGTCCCCTGCCTGGTGGCCTTTTATTTCCTTTGTGAAAGAGGAAGGGAGACATCACCAATTGAGAGTTCCTGGGAAGGCAGCAGGGCAGGGTGCTTGGAGAGAGTGGTGAAGATCCAAATGCATGGACAAAGGATGAGGACAAGGCATGGAGTGTCCAAATGAGATTGGTCACTAGAGTTTTTGATTGTTAATTTGAATTTTTAGACCATGCTATTTTTAGTGGCACTTATGATAAGACCCAGGTGTGTGTGTTTTTTTCCCCCCGCAGCAGTACTCAGCAGCCCAAGGGTAGGAGCAAAGCAGATAGATGAACAGATGGAGGTAGAGCTGAGACTTCACAGGTGGGTTTCCTGCAGGAGGAGGTGTAGGAGGCAAGTCTTGGTGAGGGTGACTGGGGGCCAGATGTGGGATTTGGCTGGGTAGAGGAGAAAGCAAAGCTGGGAACCTGATTGGTTGTTCAGACCAGGGAAACAGATTCACTTCCAAGTAGGGGGTTGTAATTGCAATGACCTCAAGTTGGTCCCAAGGGCCTCCTCTCAGAGGGTGGGGACAAAAACAAAGACTTGAGAGTGCAGGCATTAGTCCAGCCAGAGAACCTATTGAGGGAGTCAACTCTGTGGTACCTTCAGTTCTGGGCTGGCGTGTGAGAGGGAATCGGGAAATGGGAAGATGTGCTTGTGTTGTTTATTGCAGAAAACCAAGGACACATATTTGCTGTATGAGGGTCGAGGCCCTGGTGGCTCTTCTCTGCTCATTGAGGTGTTATCTAACAGTGGCTCCAAGTGCCATTCGGACATCAGACGTATCCTGAACAAGAATGGGTAGGTGTGTGTGTAAGGGAGGTGCAAGGGGAGTGGAGCCTCTACGTTCCAATTCTATACAAAGAAAGTACTGTTGCTCCCTGATGGTGTTTTACATTTTAAGCATACTTAATCCTTAGCAGAATCCAAATGGTATTATTTAATTTCTCTTAATGGGTCCTGGGCTAGGCAGGATCCAGAAGACTTGTTCATCAGGCATAGAAGGAAATCTTTGTCCCGTTATCCCATCTGTAGCAATATCATGTCCAGTTCTTAAAATATACCACCAGGACTGGAGTCTTAATGGCACAAGGAAATCACGAGCAAAGTCTTTGCATCCTTTAAGCTCCAATCAGGGCAGAAAATAGAGGATGGGGATATTCTTGGACTAGCCTCTTGCCCAGGAGTAACTTCATCTTCTCGTCCAGGAAGAAAGCTGCTCCATATCTGTGCATCCTCCAGAGGCTGGGTGGGACAGAGATAGGGTTAGAATGCTGTGCTTGGTGGAGGAGGAGTGTCTAAAGGCCATTTCCTTTCCTATCAGAGGAATGATGGCAGAAGGAGCTCGTCACTCCTTTGACAAAAAAGGAGTGGTCGTGGTTGGCATGGAGGACAGAGGGAAGAAAGCTGTGAACCTAGAGCGCGCCTTAGAGCTGGCAATTGAAGCAGGAGCTGAGGATGTTATGGAAACTGAAGACGAAGAGGAAAAGAACATCTTTAAAGTGAGTACAAAGCCTTTGTGTTTGGGGCGGGCCTCCAAGAGAGTCTTACTAGACGCATGAAGGTATGCTTCTCTTGGTTTCTTTCTCCCTGCACCCTGGGTACAGGTGAGACAAAGAGCTCGCACACTGCACAGATGTTTGTTTAGCGAATATTGGGTAAGGCCTACTCTACTGAGGACGATGAGAAGAATTCAGAAAATTGAAAACCATGTCCTGCCAGTTAAGAGCTTAAACCCAGTAATCCATTACAGTAGTTCCATTCAGACTTTGTCATGTTACCTCCTGGCTCCTCACCTCCTGATTTTCCTTTATCCCCAGTTTATTTGTGATGCCTCGTCACTGCATCAAGTGAGGAAGAAGCTGGACTCCCTGGGCTTGTGTTCTGTGTCCTGTACACTAGAGTTCATCGCCAACACCAAGGTGCAGCTGGCTGACCCCGACCTGGAGCAGGCTGCGCATCTCATCCAGGCTCTTGGCAGCCATGAGGACGTGATCCAGGTCTACGACAACATTGAGTAGCCTGGCTGTATGTGCTCCGGGCTCCTTCCTGGGCAAGCGGCAGCCCGTTGTGGAGCAAGGGCTTCCGCAGCATCCTCTGAGACTGAAGCAGGAGAGGAGCCTAAGAGGTTAGGAGGCATAAGGCCAGGATCTGCAGCCTTGAGGGCTAAGGACTCTCCACACCTCCATGGGCCCTCAGTGTCAGATATGCTGGTAACTCAGCCCTTCTGGATGAGCCCCCCTGCCCTCATGCGTGTAGGGCCAGCTGGTCAGGCTCTGATTGCAGGAGGTTGACCCTTGCGGGGATGGGATTGTAGGTGCCCTGAGGGCCTGTGTACTAGAAACTGCTCTTTCTTAAATGATAAGTGATTGATCTTGGTTGCTGCATTGCTGTTGTATGGCTCTTGGGTTTTCCTGGGTTTGTGTCCAGCTGTTGAGACCCTCTTGACTTCCTTACAAGTTCATTGGCTTAATTCTGCTATTTCAGTCCTGGGACTGTTGTTTATTTTTTTTTGATTGGGCATAGAAATGTAGCTCTCTTCAGGCACTCTGTGGTTTGATGCTGCTGTAATGGCCTCAGCCTGCCGTTCATTCATGCAATAATATTTTTTAAACATCTACTGTGTACACATACCAGGAACTGTAGTTATGTAGAGCACAAGCTATTCAATTGGTGCCTTGTCTTAGATTCTTAGATCCTGCCCCAAGACATAGGACCTCAGAGGAAAGAAAGACCCAGGACTGCTCTTGGCTGAGGCTGTCACAGGGCAGTGTGAGCATCCCTGTTTTCTTTGTGTGGCCACTGTGCCCTTCTTCACCAGAGAGCTTTATGCTCCAACCTAGTAGGAAATCAAGTGCCAGGCCTGATTTGCCGGGCCCCCTGTGTGTTCTGAGATTGGCCAGCGTGGGCCTGTCAGCAGATTGGACAGTTCTCAGGGAGGACTACACCAAGCTGGGTTTGAATGATCCTTGGCCCCCATAATGCCTAACCCTAGCTCCTTTTCATCCCTGATGCCACATGATGGGCACTGAGAACTAGAGAGGAAATGAGAGCAAAGGGAAGGGCAAAAGGCTGAGTCAGAAGCCTGGCCAGGAGGGAAATAGGGCCCTTGTTGCCTTTTGTTCCCAGTAGCCACTTCTGGATTAAGAGAGGCCAGAAACGCTAAACAGCTTTGCCGGAGCCCATCTGGCACGTCAGGCTGGAGGCCTCAGTGGCTTTTTGATCCCTGTTATTCACCTACTTATAAGTTGTTGGAGCCATTTCTGAGCTCAGGGTAATCTTCCTGAAGGAGTCTCAGGTAAGTGAGGATAGAAAAGAACTAAAATGAAATTGGTTGCAAATAATAACTTTAGCTCCAGGAAAAACAGATTACTAATTCCACAGGGACTTCTACAGCTGGGGATCGAGGACTAGGGTAAAACCAGTGAAATAATTCATGATCATAATACTACCTGAGATTTCTTGTTTTTTGTAGGTAATGACTCATCCAAGTATCTGAATTAAAAATTACCTATAGTCTTCAGCAATAGCGTATCATTAACATAGGCTGACTTAAAGTTGCTTAAAGCAGCAATTTATGCTGCCTCATAATTTATAAGATACTTTTATATTTTATTTTATGTAATTTTCACAACAAGCCAATAAAATAGGCAGACCAAGTATTTTTTGCACAAATGATCTCATACCAAGCAGGTGAGAACTGGTCTAATACTGCATCTTATATTGATAAACTTCGGTTTATAAAATGGCTGTTCTGAAAGTGTTGAATGTAAATTAATTTGACGAAATCAGATAATTTAACCTGTACTAAGGGAGCTTGCTCTGGAAGGGAACTTGGTTGCTTGTGTGAGTCGTCCTTCTCTGTGGTGTAGTTAACAAGCTCGGCCGCTAACTGAAAGGTTGGAGGTTTGGAGGTTTAAGTCCACCCAGAGGTGCCTTGGAAGAAAGGCCTGTTGATCTGCTTTCGAAAGGTCACAGCCTTGAAAAACCTATGGAGCACAGTTCTGCTCTGACACACATGGGGTCACCATGAGTCAGAATCAACTCGAGGGCAGCTGGTTTAGTCTGATAAGATTTGTTAATGTGCATCCTCATGTAACCAATTTTCTTACATCAAGGCATGCTTGCAGTACTGCATAGTGGGGCTCTTGTGAAGATGGCTCTGCACTGACCCCTGGTGGTGGCCTGCAGTCTTTCTTACAATTACTATGGGAAAGGTGGAAATAAAACCTTCCATGAGCCTGTTCTGCTGCCTCTAGATCTGGTAAGGAGAATCTTAGCTACCTAGGTTTAAAAGAATGGTTACGTTCATATGATGGGGTATTACACGGCCACTAAAAATTATTTTTCAAAGAATGTTTCAGTCCAGAGAAAATGTTTACAATATAATGTTAAGTGGAAAAAAGGTGCAAAACTATATGTATCCAGACCAAACAAACTCATTGCCGTTGAGTCGATGTTGACTCCTAGCAATCCTATAGGACAGAGAACTGCCCCATAGGGTTTCCAAGGAACAGCTGGTGGATTCGAACTGCCAGCCTTTTGGTTAGCAGCCAAGTTCTTAACCGCTGTGCCACCAGGGCTCCGATATATATATATATATATTTTATATAAAATATTGTATATATGAATTTTTTAAAAAGATTTCAAGGATTTATAGCAAAATATCAACACTGACTATCTGGGGATGGTAATGTTATAACTGAGTTTTATTTTCTATAATCATGTATTAATTTTTATCAGGGGCAAAATTTGTTTTTTAATAGTCACATTATCGTCCAACTAGAGAGACAGCAGCTGAGCGCTTGGCAGTCAGGCTTATGTGAAAGTCAGAAGAATGGGGTCGGTATGGGCTTGCCTTTGCCTTGTCTTTGGTCATTGCCTTAGCAACACACATCTTGAGGTCTGGAAGCCAGGCTTGTACTCACTTTCAGGCATCCTTCTGGTGGGATGGCGGTATCTGTGACAGGCTCTGCCCACAGCCTTGACTTACTAGAAGCACTTGTGTGGTGTGTAGCCACCACTCCTCGGCCATAGCCCTGGCTGAATGGAACAGGAACAGTGAAGGCTCTGCCTCCATCCAACTGTGGAAATTGTTACTTTTTTTTCCCCTAAAACTTAAAGCAGTCAGTAAAGCTTCAAACTCTAAGAGCCCCCAATGCCCAGACTTTTGTTTAAATCCCTAGGAACTCTTCCAGAGCCATTCTGTAAAGAGAAAATAAAAGAGCCAGTAGGTCTGGCAAAAGAAAGTACTGTGATAGATCCCACGCTAGTCTTGACTGAAATCACTTTATTTCATGCCCAGCCGGTGAACAGGATAGCAGTTTATATTTTTAATTCTTTTTATCTTTTTTTGTCTATACCTACAAAGGTAACATTTATTGATAGTTTTTAAAGACGTCAAACCTTACAGAGATATATAACAAATTAAAGTCCCATCTAATCGTATCTTGTAAGAGATAATCATCATTAACAACCTACTCTGTATTTCTCTCATTCTGTTCTCTGGAACCAGTCTGCTAAGGAACAAATTCTGGCTCTGCCAATTACTAGCAACCTTGGACAAGAATTTAACCTCTCTGTACCTGTTTCCTCATCTGTAAAATGGGGGTATGAATCCTACCTATTTCATAGGGTTGTTTTGAGAATTAACTAAGTTAATATGTGTTAAACACTTAAAACAGTGCCTAGCAACAGTAAGTGTTCTATAAATGTTGGCCTTTTCCCCCATTAAGTATGAATGAACATTTTTTTCTTAAACTTAAATGTGATCACTCTATATATTTCTGCTTTATAATCCAGTTTTTTGTTTTTTTTAGTGGTATTGTTTTGTTTTTACTTCGCAGTATATCCTAGACACTTTTTGGTACCAGAACAGAGAAGTCTACTTCATTCTTTTCAGCGGCTACATGGTATTTTATTATATCAATGTGCCATAATTTATTTAATTAGTCTCCTTGCCAATGGACACTTGGATTGGTTTGGATTGTCTGTCTTACAAAAGATGCTGCAGTTAACGTTCTTTACCTTTGCTCACTTGCAAAGTGTTCTTTAAGATAAATTTATAGAAGTGGAATTTCAAAATGAAAAGGCAGTTTTTTGTTTGTTTTGTTTGTTTAGAAGTAAACGTTGACAATTTGTGAGACATTATATAGTTGCAGAATTCTTCAATGATGTGTATATTATTCCTTGACAACTCAGATAAGCTAACTGGCTAAACCAATAATGTGAATATAGTCCACCTTTACCTCTAAATTAAAAGAATTTTTATCAAATCAGGTGGTAGGTTTGTTTTCTTTTTTACACCAAATCCATTGAGCTATCCCTAAGAGAATTTATTTATTTATATCTATTGCTCCCTATGGTGTCCACGTGTCCCCATGTTGTTGAGGGAAAAAAAGCTGCCAAGTGTGCAGTCTGCTGTGTGTTTGGGCCACCTGATGGGACCAGCACTCTCTGAGGCCCTGACTCCTGGGGCAGGTCATGATTCTTGGGGTCAGGTGGGCTCAGGTGCTTAACCAGGGCATCCACTCAGTACAAACCAGGGGGACAGCCTTGAGAGGGCATGGCTCAGCTGGGAGGCTTCACACAGGAAAATGAAGAGTGGCAAGAAAGCGACATAGAAAGAGAAGATAAAATAGATAGCTAGAAGGGTGCACTCATGGAAATTAACATTCAATTGCCTACATCTCCATTTGAGGTTCACTTATTCAACAAATATTTATATATTTTTCTTTTTTTTTTATTGTTGTGCTTTAAGTGAAAGTTTACAATTCAAGTTAGTCTCTCATACAAAAATTTATACATACATTGTTATGTGACCCTAGTTGTTCTTCCTATACTGTGACAGCACACTCTTCCTTTCCACCCAGGATTTCCCGTGTCCATTCAACCGGCTTCTGACCCTCACTGCCTTTATACATTTTTTTGAATGTGCTGTGCAGGGAGCTCTGGTGGCACAATGGTTAAGTGCTCAGCTGCTAACCAAAAGGTTGGTGGTTTGAACTCAAGAGGAGCTCCATGGGAGAAAAGACCTACTGATCAGTTCCCTTGAAGATTTCAACCTAGGAAACCCTATAGGGCAGTTCTACTCTCTGTAAGGGTCGCTATGATCCTGAATGGACTCGATGGCACACAACAACATGCAAGATGCTAGGCACACTAATCGGAGTAAGACACAGCTTCTGCCTTTAAGCTCACTTTCTTAAAGGCAGTTACAATAGAGCAGGACAAGTGCTTTAATGAGGAAAGTACTAGATGCTTGGGAGCACATCAGAGGACATTAACCCAGATTTGAGTTGTCTGTCTGGGAAGGCTTTCTAGAGGGAATGATGTTTAAACTTAGCCCTTCCCTGACAGAATGGGCTGGGGGGCAGGAGTGGAAGAGAAGAGAGTTCCAAATAGGAAATAGCACATGCAGAGGTGTAGAGGCAAGAGAGAGTCATATTTGAGGAAGTGCCTGTGGTTCAGAATGAATGGAGCATAAAATTTGAATGATGGGGTTGGTGGACGTGGGAAATGGAAAGACTTCTGGCTGGAGAAGAAAGAATGGACTGGGTCCTGAAGGGCCTTCTTAGCCACATTCATATATTTGCCTTTATCCTTAGGGCAATGGGAAACTACAGTTTTTAAGCAAGGTATGACAGGATCAGATGTCAGATTCCAAGTAAGAGGTTTTGGTGGTTTGAACTAGGATGGTGGAGCTAGGGACAGGGAAGAGTGGACAGACTGGAGACAATGTCAAGATTGGCTGTGGAGGAAGATCAATAGAGAGAGTATTCTCTGATAACTCAGAGGTATCCGACTTAGGGAACTGTGGATGGACAGAGGAAATCTAGACCTATAGAGGAAAATATAGAAGAATGATGAATTTGGTTTTGGACGTTGTAAAAATGGTGTGGTAGAAGCTTCTAATCTCCTCCTATAACTTCACAAGGGGGAAGGAGAATCAAGATCAATGGCCCAAGGCTGATTCCTATGAGGTAGAGTTCAGACATGCCTCCTCTCTCCACCATCTTTATCAATTCTGACACCAACCATCCCTCCCATGGCACTGTCTACTTCTGTGTTGGGTTCAATAATTCATTACAATGGCCACACAGAACTCACAAACAATACTTACGATTATGGGGTTTTTAAGGAAGTAACAGGTTACTGTTTAGGTTCAGAAATGCTCAGGATACAGTTCTTCCATCAGGACAGCCTCTTTTCAGCCGTGCCCACAGGCACACCTCTTCCTGGCCCCTCAGCCTCTGCCCTGCTCGAACAGGCATTGCAAAGCTCTTTTAGCTCTGCCGATAAGTGCCCAGAGGCCTCCCGCTCCGCCAGTAAGCCTCGGCCCAAAGGCACTCAGCTCTAGCTCCACCAAGTGCCTGGAGACACACTACTCTGCCAGCAAGCCACCTGCCCAAAGGCACTCAGGTTTCTGTCTCCATGAGCTGGGACGCCCACCACACCGTCTCCTGCTGGTCTCCTGCCACAGTTTCTCTGCCACCACTTTTCGCAGTCTTCAATGTTACAGCTCTCTCTCTCTCAGTCTCCTGGTTCTAGGAGCTTCTCAGTGTGGGGATCCCAGGTCCAAAGGACGTGCTCTGCTCTTGGCCCTTCTTCCTTGGTGGTGGTGAGATCCTCTCCTTGCCTCTGGGATGGCTCAGTTTTAAGCTAGCGGGATGGCAAAACTGAAACCAGTCCCTTTGGTGGGCCACAGTTACTTTATTTGCACAGTCCCACCCAATCACTTGGGTGGGATTTACAAGACCATGTAGAGAAGGGCCACACAAAAGCAATCCATCGCACCACAGACAAGTAGAATTTGAGATGCCTGTGGGAGCTCAGAATAAAAGACTCAAATTGGACATATAATTCAGATTCTAGAGTCCTCAGCACGTAGGATAACTGAAACATGGCTGGTTAAAGGACAGACAATGGAAATGAGGCCCACAAAGAAGGCAGTGGCTGGAAAG